AGTGATGGACTGTGCAAATATGTATATGTATCTCTACAGACACATATGGCAGATTTCTAAGTTCTGTCTGCCCCAAGCATCTCCCCACTCTCATCCATCCTTCACATGCTGCTAACGTAATTTTTCTTAGGAACAGATCTGATGGTGTTGATTGAGCAGTCACACTGCATCAAATATAAAACTCTGTTTAGCTTTTAAAGCTCTTCACAAACTGCCTCCAACCTAATCTCTGAAGCGTTTTTGGACACTGCTACTCTTTTTCTCACTTTCTGTGTTGTAGCCTGACTTTTTTGTTCCTCATACATTGCCTCCAGGTACAAATGCAAAATACTCTGTTTGCCATTCAAAGCCCTTCATAACCTAGCCCACTCCTTTCCAGTCTTCTTACAACCTTACTCCCCAATACATGCTCTTTCTCTTTGATAGTGACACCGGCCTCCAGGCTGTTCCATCCTTTTGGCTCTGGGTATTTTCTCTGGCTGATCTCCTTCCCTAGAATTCTCTCCCTCCTGGAATCCAACCACTGACCTCTCTGGCTTCCTTTAAGTCTCAACTACAATCCCGACTTCTACTGGCAGCTTTATCTAACCCCTCTTAATTCCAGCGCTTTCCCTCATTTAATTATCTCCTATTTATCCTGTACATAGCTTCCTTTGTATATATTTGTCTGTATGTGGTCTCCCCCAGTAGATTGTAAACTACTTGAGGCAGGCACTACCTTTAGCCTCTCTTTGTATCTGCAGAGCTTAGAATGGTGCCTGGAACAGGGTAGGCACTTACATGTTTACAGAATGAATGAACTAAGTTAATCTCCCACCTCCTTGCCTTTTCACTTGCCATCATCCTACATGGGTGGACTGGGTTCCCCCTTTATTCTCTGCCTCAAAATCTCTTTCTTCTTCTTAAGCCAGTTCAAGCACTATCCCTGGCATGAAGCTTTTCCTCAAGGCTTCTCTTTCAAATTACCTTGTATTTAACTTCTTGGTATAAATATTTGTATTTATTCATGTTATACATATAGAGAGAAGGAATGGGTCTTTTTTTTTTTTAAAGCTCCTGCTCTTTGCCAGGTATTGTGTAAAGTGCTTTACAAATACTATCTCTGAAGATCCTCACCACAACTGAGGAAACTGAGGTAAAGAGCAGGTAGGTGATCAGGATCACATATCTACTATCTGAAGCTGTATTTTAACTCAGGCCTTCCTGACTCTCAGGCCCTACATGCTAACCACTGAGCCACCTAGCTGCCTCACATATAAATATATTGTTATATGTACTTCTTGTCTTCTGTATTAGATGCAAACTCTTTGAAGTGGGCATTGTTTTATTCTTTATACTCCAATCCCCCTAGTCCACAGGAGGTTCTTCATAATGCTTGTTAATTGACTGATAGACTAGCCAAACTAATTAGGCTCAGAGAGGCTCATTAGCAGGTTGGCTGGATAACAATGAATTTTTTAAGTACTACAACTCTCAAAGACCATAGGCTAAGTCCAGGAGTTATCCACTAACAATATATCATCAATCCTTAAAGTATTGCAGTTGACTAAATATACTCCAGAAGTGAATCACTTTATAATATGGTTTTATTGTATCCCTTACACCCTTCCAGACACCTAACACAATCACAATAAAAATAAAGAACCCACTGGATTGAGGAGAGTCCCCGCCCACCTTCACTTCCCATCTGCTTATCTACATTCTACTGATTCTACCTCCTGTATGAAACCTTTTCCACCTATGACAGGCCACATGGGTCTTTCCTTTTCTGAATTCCTGCTACACTGACACATTATTAAACAATGTTCAGCACTTAATTGCTTTCTATTTTATGAATGTTGGTTCTGTCACTATAAACAGAACGTAAGCTATTTGAGTGGAGGAACTATAGATGCTTATATTTATCTGCTTCCCCACAGCATCTTGTACCTTGTAGGTATCCAATAAATATTGATATGACAAACTGGATATGAGCTATAAAAACAAATAACAAAAATAGCAACCTTCATAACTGCCTTTCTTCATCACTTCCCTCATAATCACTCTTAGCAGCATCACAACTCTGACTATCCTCATGAAAGTATGATGTACTGGGTGCCTATGAGGCATCACTGAATGACTGGCAGGTCATCCAAATAGCATTTTTTCTTGATACATTGTCTTTATGAACATTTTTAATGACAAGAAATAAAATGCTTAAGTTCAAAGGAAACAGTAGAAATGTAAGCATTAACTCCCTCATTAATATAGTATATGCTCTAACATGTAAGAAAAAATATCCAATATACCTCAAATTATAAAATATGAAATTCCTAATAAGGGGCTTCAAAGCTACAGTGGCAATAAATACCACCAACTACCCACCCAAACCCTTAAGCAGGGTTACCACCAAAGCAGAAAGAAAATTAAGATGGTTTGTGAGTGAGAATTCACACATCAGAAACCCTATGTAGGGAGTTTAGATATAGATTATACTTGTTCTCTGCTAACATACAAAATAACTAAGACTATAGACATATAACTAGAGATTCACTGCCAAAGTGGAGAAGAAAAATAAGACAATAGTTTCAAAACAATGGAATAGTCAGACGCTCACTATTAATAGTCAATAAGACAATGGAAAGTAATTCAGACCATGGGTCTAAATGATTTGAGCAATTCTTTTACTTTGGAAGTATATTAGAGATCTGGCCTGGTAAAAGCTTCCACTTCTCACAAAGTATGAAAAGAGACAGTCCCACAAGAAGATTCTAAAAGAGTGTCAATACAATTTAAATGTGACATTGTATATCTCCTTACGTCCACAAATAATCAATTTGAGACTGTCATAAACAACTTGATAAACAGAGATGTATATTTAAGTCATGACTTAAAAAAAAATTTATTTAATTTTAAAATCATACTGATTAGCTAGGAAAAGAGGTGGAGTGGAGGGACCGAGCATTTATTAAGTGCCTACTGTGTGCTAGGCACCTTGCTAATAACTTTACAAATATTAATTATCTCATTTGATCTAACTAACTTAATTAGCTCAAGTTAAAGTTAGACCAGTGTGGATGGTTTGATTGCAATGAGGGATGGCCTAAAATAAGAACGACATCTTAGGGAATACTTCCTTTAACTCTTGCAATGGTTTTATTATACATTATTTCCAGCAATTTAATTAACACTACTTTTCTGCATTCTATCTATAAGGTCTTTCCACAGAAACAGGAAAAGGATTATTGGATATTTTCAGCTCTTTCAGCCACAACCACAATACAGATAGAGCTTGACATCATATCTTGTTAAATGGGAAGTAAGTAGATGACTCCTATTTCCCTAGTATGCCTAGATTCCTGTTGGCTTCTGAACCTTCTCTCCCATTTTGCCATTTTAATGCATTCAGGTGTTCCTACTTCCCTGTCAAACAGACAAATGCAGATAAAATTAACAATATTACTTAGAACTTGGCCCAAAGCTCCATATCTCTTCCTCAATAATCTTCCCAACTAGGCTATTTTTGAAAAAATAATATGTTAAATTTTAAGTTCCAATTATCTTTGAAACTCCTCCGGAAACTAGCAATAAGTGCACACAACAGTAGGCACTTAACCATGCTCCCCAACCAACTTTGACCACTTGTATGTAATTAGGGGTGGGAATGGAACTGATCTTGTATCTTGGAACTGCATTTCAAGCAGTCCTGGTATCTTGGAACTGCATTTCAAGCAGTCCTGTTTCCACCACTGGATATACTGAAGTGGTTTCAAGTGAACAAGTGTTTCAGTAAAGACTATTGTGGGATTATAGATATGGAGCAAAAAGTGGCCTTGGAGGCTGTCTAGCCCAACCCCTTCATTTATATAGATGAAGAAATAGGCCTGGAGAGGTTGAATGATTTAATACCCAAAGTCACAAAGTTAATGATCAGAATAGACCTCTGACTTAAAATCTAGTTTCTTGCCAGAGCAATTAAAGAAATTAAAGGAATAAATAAAATTTATAGCCCCAACCCCAGGTTCAGGGTGAAAATGACCAAAGGTGGCAGACCCTAGCTCTAAAGTCCCCTCCCGTTAGCACGAGAGCCCCGCAGAGTCCTTTGTTTCCTAGCAATAGATTCCCCTCCCCCAGCTGAAGTCTCTCTCTCTCTCTCTCTCTCTCTCTCTCTCTCTCTCTCTC